CTCTTCCAGCTGCCGGCAGCCTTTGTAGGTGCATTTGTCTCCATATCTGTCTGTCTGTCCGCCTTTTCCAGCTTTGCAGCCTTTGTAGGTGTGTCTGTTTCCACGTCTGTCTGTCTGTCTGTCTGTCCGTCTCTTCCAGCTGCTGGTAGTCTTTGTAGGTGCGTCTGTCTGCATGTCTGTCTGTCTGTCCGCCTGTTCCAGCTGCCGGCAGTCTTTGTAGGTGTGTCTGTCTGCCCTCCTCTTCCCCAGTGTGTGTCTCTGAAGGGATTAGACCTCACATCCACAGGATGTCCTCAGTAATGTAACAGAAGGTATCCCTATCTCCAGACTGGGTCATATTTACAGGGATGGAGGTTAGGTTTTCAGCACTTTTGGGGGCTCATCTCCATCCAGAACAGCATGCAGAGTGCTTTGCCGGGCCTGCCCCCTGCTCCCCACCGCTCACAGGCCTGGGAACCATGCTGTGCCTGACTTGGTGTCCACATCAGCAGTGTCTCCCTCACTCCTTCTAGAGGTTCCAAAGACAGAGAAGAGCTTCGAGGAGAGGCTGATCTTCAAGGCATTTCTGCTCAAGTTTGTCAACTCCTATACCCCCATCTTCTACGTGGCTTTCTTCAAAGGCAGGTACGTACAATGGCTAGAACTGGGCACCTGTTCCCAACTAGCTCCTCCCAGTCTGGAAAATGGCATTGCCCACCTGTGTCCCTGAGGGTGGGGACTGCTGAATCCCAGGGCAGACCACCACTGAGGCTCCCCTGGGGTACCTGCACAGGGGGACCGCCACAGTGGTCTAAGGAGTCAGGAGGAAGCCAGGGTGAAACCGTGCAGCTGCTGGTCAGCTCAGACTGTGTGCAGGGCTCAGGTGGGGACCCACATGCTGCCACAACACCTCTTACCACCCCAGGGTCTCAGAGTCCAGCCAGTAGGACCCAGTCCCCACAGCACCTGGACAGCTGGGAGGCTGGGCGGCTCCTCACCCAGGTTGCCCAGGACCTCTCTGATCCTCCTCCAAGGTCCCCAGAGCAGGGCCAATGTCCACTCAGGGGAGCAGAAAGGGGTCTCTCAGCCACCCACATCCTGGAACCAGCAGCTCGAGAGACAGACACCCTTCAGGACCTTGATTTCACTCTGGAATCCCTTCCTGGTCCCCCTTCACTGTGCTGCCTCCAAGCCTGTGGGTTTCCTATGGGAGAAGTACAATTCCCTGACCCTTTCCTGGGTCTGGCAAATGAGTGAGCATTTGGCCGATAGAAACCACAGTAGTCATTGCCCAGAGATTGAATCAGACCCATATGTAGGCACCCCTTGAGTGGTCTTTCCAAAAGCGTGGTCTCAGCTCCCCTTAACTCCCTCCCTACCACCGTAGGTTCGTCGGCCGCCCCGGAGACTACGTGTACATCTTCCACTCTTTCCGGATGGAGGAGGTAATAGAATTTGCCTGTCTCCTGCCCCCTGTCTGCTCCATGAACTAATCCCAATCCCCTATGTGGAACAAACCCGTGCAAATTCTCTCAGCGAGTCTCGACCATCTCTTCCCTACCTGAACCCTCTCCTGGTAGGGCTTCCAAATCCCCTAAAAAAAGTATGTCTCTTTTAGAGGTCATGGTGGGGACAAAAACACCACAACACCTAGTTTAATTCTATTAGCCTGAGGGTTTCTCACCTTTCCAATTTAGTGGACCCCAGCCTGCGCCAACAGTACAGCCCTATGGATGGGCGGCCAGGACATGCAGGGGTAGAGAATGAGCCTGGAGGAGGACCCTGAGTTCCATCCTGACTCTGCCCACTCCCTGGCACTGTGCTCCCACTCTGGGTCCAGCTGAGTTCCCTTCCGGTTCTGCTAACCTGTGGGCAGCATAGGTTAGCTGTCAGAATAACGTACTACAGACTGGGGACTAGAAACAGTAAAAACCTTGCCCTTTGCTCTTCTGGAGGTTAAATGTCCAAAATCAAGGTGTTCGGCAGGGCCTCGCTCCCTCCCCAGTCTCCATGGTAGAACCCCTCCTGTTTTCCAGCATCCTTCCTTCTGCGTTTCTTAGCTTGGGGCTACATTGTTCAGCCTCGGCCTCCTGCCTCATGGGACCATCTTCCCTCAGGGTGTCTCTGTATTCAAAACCCCAATTCAGGACCACCCAACTCCAGTAAGAGCTAACCCTGGTGGTATAGTGATTTAAGAGCTCAGCTGATAACTGAATGGCCAGCAGTTCAAACCCACCGCTCACTCCGTACAAGAAAGATGAGGCGGTTTGAATCTATACTGATTACAGCCTCGGAAGCCCTCTGGGACAGTTCTGCTCTCCCCTACGGGGTCACTAGGAGTTGGAATTGACTCGACGACACGGAACAACTCCAGTACGACCTTATGTCATCTTAATTCCATCTGCAAAGTTCCCGTTTCCAATACGGTCCCATTCGCAGGGTTAGGCTTTGACGGTGTCTCTTAGGCTGTGGCAGTTTCTGGTGGCGCCGGGTGGTCATTAACTGGCTCTGTGTCCACAGTGCGCGCCCGGCGGCTGTCTGATGGAACTCTGCATCCAGCTCAGCATCATCATGCTCGGCAAGCAGCTGATCCAGAACAACCTATTCGAGATTGGGATCCCGTGAGTACACCCTCCTCCTCATTGCTAAGGTCAGGGCTGGGGGCTCTCAGCCAGGGTGTAGGTACCAAGACAGAGGGCACAGGGCAGAGACCACCCAACTATGGACAAGAGCAGGGAGGAAGTCCAGCTCCCCAAGCTGGCTGAGATTACGGGGAGCCACAAGGTACCCCCAAACCTGCATGCCTGGCTCCCTGTGGCTGGCAAATGATGAATCAGGTGTTTTTATCCTTACCTTTCAAAAGTTCAGGTCCTATTCCTTGCTCTCCAGTAGCAGTTGCTGTCTAGAATCAGAGATCCTTGTCCAAAGAGTTCAGGGTGGGCACACCTGCATCCATCCCCCTGCTCCCCCGTCCCCTGACATCGCAGGGCCTTCTCTGTGATTTCCACTGCCTTTGTCCTCCATCTGCCTCCGTTAAAAGCCCTAGTGACATAGTCGTTTAAATGCCTGGCTGCTAACCAGAAGGTGGGTGGTTGGAACCCACCAGCTGCTCCACGGAAGCAAGATGAGGCTGCCAGCTTCTGTAAAGATGGACAGCCTTGGAAACCCCATGGGGCAGTTGTACCCGCCCTGCAGAGTCTGTAGTTAGAATCCAGTTGGGGGAAGTGGGTTTGGTCTTTGGTGGTAACCAGCCCTCAGTTGGTAACCTAAAGGTGGGTGGTTCAAACCCACCAGCTGCTCCTCAGGAGAAACATGCCACAAGTAAGGCCTCCGTGAAGAGGACAGTCTTGGAAACCCCATGGGGCAGTTCTCTGTCCACTAGGGTAGCTGCGAATCAGAACCGATTCAACAGCAGGTGTCGGGGGAGGGCGTTATTTGGTGCCTCAGTTTCCCAAATCATCAACATCTTCAGCAGCATCATTGATGGAGAAATATGTGAAAACGAGCGGATTCACGGCCTAAGACGGTCAGGTTGGGATGGCCGAGTACCAGAAGCACTGTAGAGGTGTCCCCTCCCCGCCACCCCCCAGCTGTCGTCTTCTCACTGATGCTGACTCAGGTTGGCCCTGCTTTTAGGAAAATGAAGAAGTTCATTCGCTACCTGAAGCTGAAGCGACGCAGCCCCTCAGACCACGAGGAGTACGTGAAGAGGAAACAGAGGTACGAGGTGGACTACACCCTGGAACCCTTCGCCGGTCTCACCCCGGAGTACATGGAAATGAGTGAGTGGTCCAGCGCACTTCCCAGGTGTCCTCCAAAGCGTCAGCAGAGAGGGGAGGGGAGGGTACAGGAGGACCAGCTGTAGGTGAGCCTGGTCTGCGCAAGACCCTAAGGCTCTGGTGGTGCAGCAGTTTGCACTCAACTGCTTACCTAAAGGTTAGGAGTTCAAATCTAGCCAGAGGTGCTGTGGAAGAAAGGACTGGCAGTCTACTTCTATTAAGATGACAGCCAAGAAAACCCTGTGGAGCACAGTTGTACTCTGTGACACACGGGGTCAATACGGAGTCAGGATGAACTCAACCGCAACTAACAATAGTATCAGCAAAAGGTCCCAGGAAAGGCATGCCTACCTCCCCAAGTGGTACCCTGTTCACCTCTCCCGCAGTCCCTCCTCCATGGCTAGAGGCCCCATGATGCTCCCCAGAAACCCAAGGTGCCTCCTCCAAGCCCCCTGGGAATCCTACTTCAAGTCCCCAACTCACGCCTCTTCCCAGGACAGAGCTCCTTCGGGAAGCAGACAGGTGTCTCCTGTGGAGAGACCAGGAATGCGCCTTGTCACCCGAGAACAGTGCCACTGGACAGGCAGACATGGAGAGGCAGGGCCTCACAATTACAAGTGATGGGGTCAGGGAGGGGTGGGGAGAGGCCACCTGGAGCTTCCCAACCTCATCTCCCTCCTTCTTCCGCCTCTCCAGCCACACTGGCCTCCATGCTGCTTCCCAGAAGCCCAATGCACCAACCTGCCACAGGGCCTTTGCACTAGCCACCTCTTCCTGGAATGCGCTCTCCTAAATATCGACACAACTCCCATCCTCTGTTCCCTCAGGGCTCTGCTGTAGTCCCCACTGAATGTGCCCCCAGCAGACAGAGGGGCTGTCCCTGACCACTAGGTCTGACAGGCAGCCCTTACCCCTGCTCATCATTTCCGTCTGCCCAGAGCTCTTTACTTCTGTACCCCTACTCCTAGAACTGGGCCAGGTATGCAGTAGGTGCTCAATATATATATATATATATTTAAGGAGCAAACAGATGAGCAAGGACTCCCCCAGAGACGGAAGCCACCCTGGGCAGCTCATTTCCAACGCTGGTTCCCCAGGCCTGCACCTGGCCTCTGTGAGCGAGGCTGGACAGGCCTGGGTGTGAAGGCAGCCAGGGCCCGCCCTCACCTCTCGCAGCTGTGTGGAGAGTGTTAAGGAGTCAGGTGACCCTGGTGCCAGCGAGCGTCTCTGGCTGACTACTTCATCAATTCAGTACCGTTCCTCATGTTCTTCTCAGCGGCCCCAGCTGAGCACTTCTCCCGAGCACCTGGCTACCGATGACTGGTCTCCTTGTCCCCCTGGAATTAAATCCAAGCAGAGCAGCACCCTGAGACACCCCCAAGGTGGACCCTCCATCCACCAGCTGCTCAGAGAGGCCTAAGATAGGGTTTCTCTAGCTGAGAGGCTATGAGCATGTCCAAACCCTTTATGGGAGATCTTTAGGAGATTTTTTCAGAAGGGGATCCCCAGGTCTTTCTTTCAAGGCACTTCTGGGTGTATTCAAACCTCCAACCTTCCCATCAGCAGCCCACAGTGTTGATTATTTGCACCTGATTGACCAGGAGATAGACAGCTGTTCCTTGCGTTTTTCTGTTTGTGGTAAATGAAGTCTGACCTGCCTCCTCCCACTCCCACCCGCACTCCCACCCCAGGTTTGGGAATTGAGGTTCCTGGAAAGGCACTTCCTCCCTCTTCAGGGAGACAGATAGACAGACAGGAGGACACACAGAGTCCACAGTATATCCCCACCATCGAACACGTGACTCTGTGCCCCTGACTTTCACCCCAGTTTCCCCTAGAGAAAAAACTCAGAGCAGGACACCAGGAGGCACCCCCTGTCCCCCGAAAAAAAAGCAGGTGTGAAATTGACGGACTCAATGGTGAGCCGTGTATGTCAGAGAAGGCCTTTACTCCGCAGGGTTCTCAGTGTCCGTATGTCAGTGTCTGTATGTCAGAGAAGGCCTTTACTCCACAGGGTTCTCAGCGGCTGAGTTTTCAGAAACAGATTTCCAGGTCTTTGTTCTAAGACACCTCTGGTTAGATAGACCCAACTTTCCAAACTTTAGAGCACATTAACCATTTCTAGCGTAGTGGTTACGAATTGGGCTGCTAACCTCAAGGTCAGCAATTCGAAACTACCAGCTGCTCAGCAGGAGAAAGATGAGGCTTTCTGCTCCCGTAAAGATTGACAACCTTGGAAACCCTGTACAGGGTCACTATGAGTCGGAACTGACTCCACGGCACATAACCACCCCCGCCACTTCCCCTCTCAATAACGCCATCCTTTTTTACCAGTTGCCATCAAGCCAACTCTAGCCCCTGGCGCCATGAACTTTCAGTGGCTGGTTTTTCATGAGTACATTGCCAGGCTTTTCTTCCAGGTGCCTCTGGGTGGACTTGAACCTCTAACCTCTCAGTGAGCAGCTCACCCAGAGACTCCGTAAGACACCCAGAAATGGAGACAGTGGACAAGAAGGCCCAGCTGGAATGTTCCCGACACAACCCTACCAGCACACCCCACTAACCCCTTCTTGGTTCCTTGGTGCCAAGAAGAGGCAGGGTCCCATGGAAGGGGGAAACTGATTCTAGCAGACACCTACAGCCTTAAAACCCTGGCAGACCCCACACCAATTGCAGAGTCCCCACTGTGGATTGCCTTTGTCACCTTCAGAGAAGCCAGACAGGACTGGTGTCCAGGAAAGGCCATCCAGTCCAGCCCCTGCTGCCCCTACAATGTGCCTAGCAATGTTTCCTCCGCCGCCAGCACAGGCTGACACACTCAGGTTTCCTTGTTTACTGTTTGGCACCGCGCACCTCTGATCAGGATCCTGTCCTAAAGTTCCTGAGCCAACCCCACGCCATCCAGAACTTTCCCAGACCCCTCTGTTTTGCTGGCCAGGGAAGCCCCGAGCTACTCACTGACCAGAATTGGGCAGAGGGGGCTGTGGAGAGAGAGGGAGAGCTGCCCTGATTCATGGGTGCCCACCAGCTCCTAAGTCTGAAGAGAGGGGAACATGTGGGACATTTGCCATGGCAGTAATGCTATCTGGTCCTAGACCTGGGTACAGGAAGGGACTTGGGCTGTGTCCTTGGAGCTCATGGGGGTCTTCTCACCCTATTATTGATGATGTTAGACATGGAGTCCTGTTGTGGCACTGTGGGTTAATGTGCTGGACTGCAAAGTTGTTTGAACCACAGGTTCAGCGGTTCAAGTTCATCAGCTGCTTCTCAGAAACCCTAAACAGGGTCACTCTGGGTTGGAACTGACATGACGGAACTTAACAACAACAATTACACATATGACAAGTGAACACGTTCCCATTATACAGGAGTCAAGGAACTCCTTGGTAACACAGAGGTTTAGGCAGGTCAAGCCCACCCAGACGTGCCTCAGAGAAAGGCCTGGCTGTCTGCTTCCAAAAGATCATGACCTTGAAGACCCAATGGGGCACTTCTACTCTGCACACATGGGGTCACCGTGAGTCCGAATGAGCAGCTAACAACAGCAGCAAGTCACACACAACAGCACAACTCTGGCCTGAAGACCCCCTGCACCAGACCCAAGTTCCTAGAGATCAGGGGGTCTGTCCAGCTCCCCACACCTGACCCAAATCCCTGGAGATTTGGGGTCTGTCCCCCTAGCCAGCATGGCCCAGGGCCCCAGGGATTGGGAGTCTGAGTTCTTGGAGATTGAGGGTCTGTCCTCACTCCCCACATGGCCCAAGTCCCCGGGGGCCAGGAGTCCGTCCTGTGAGTCTGCAGGTCCTTCTGCACAGACTGAAGTCTCCTTGGCTGTCCATGGCGTGTGGGCAGGGACGAGGGCTGTGGAGGTGAAGCTGACCTTGGGCTCTCTCCCGCAGTCATCCAGTTTGGATTTGTTACCTTGTTCGTGGCGTCCTTCCCTCTGGCCCCGCTGTTTGCGCTGCTGAACAACATCATTGAGATCCGCCTAGATGCCAAGAAGTTTGTCACCGAGCTCCGCAGACCCGTAGCCGTCAGAGCCAAAGACATTGGTGAGTAGCCCCAATGGGACCAGATCTTGGGGAGCCAGATCAGACAGCGGTGGGTGCAGTCCCCCCCACCACAGTGGGCAGGGGGAGTTCTCAGAGCTTGTGAGATGAATCCAAAGAAGAGAATCCAGGCTCTTGAGTATCTAAGGTTCTCAACAGTGTGCTGCATTAGGGTGTTCTGAGGCACGGTCCCTGGTAGTTCCCAGCACACACCCCAAATGTCCATGTGTCCCCACAGCTCCAAGTGAGGCCAATGCTGGAAATAGCATTGGCTCCTTTACCACTGTCTCATGCCTTTCGACAGAGCGTACCTCTTACTCATTTCATGTGAGCCCATTTAACAGCTGAGGGGAGAGTTGACTGAGCCAATGGGAGGCATGGCTGTAGGGTCAGCTCCAAGGCACTGAGGAGGTCTCATCCGTGTGGTAGAGAGGGGAGGCAGATCCAAGGTCAATAGAAAGAGTAACTCCAACAGTCAGACTTCCAAAATGGAGCCGATTTCTTGGTGGAGTAGTGAGCTCCCTGTCTCGGGAGGCATTTAAGTAGAGAGAGATGACTGTCTGTCTGGAAGTGATGAGGGATCTTAGGAGATGGAGAAGGCAGAGCTCCAGACCCCAAAGTATGCCTTAACTTTGGCAAAGTATGCCAACCCCCACAAAACACACCCTAATTTCAAGTTACAACCCAACCCAATTTCAGAGTAAACAGGTAAGAAGCAAAGTTTCTCTTGGAACTTTATCTTGACGATGTGGTGGGATATTATGTAAGTGTATTGACTTTGTCTCAGAGCTAATGCCCTGTCAGTAAAACAGCCTCTCCACATAACTCAGAATGAACAAAGAGGGACCCATCTGTCCTGCCACCAACATAAAGGCCACAAGGCAGTGTGAGCAGACAGCGTGGAGTTTGGCTTTTGTAGCCCAAGGATCAAAACCATTTTGACTCCTAGCGACCGTACAGGACAACGCCACAGGACAACTGCCCCATAGAGTTTCTGAGACTGTCAATCTTCACGGAGTGGACAGCCCTCATCTTTCTCCTGAGGAGCAACTGGTGGGTTTGAACTGCCAAATTTGCAGTTCACAGCCCAATGCTTAACTGGCTGCACCACCAAGGCTTTTGGCTCAGAGATAAAACTGAAGAAATATAGGGTGGGAACTCTGTGAGCCTTCCCATGGGCGTCACCTTCTTCCCCAGGTGTTAGGGGTCTGCCAGTAGAGCCTCTTAGCCCAGATCCCCCTCCGTCCACCTCCAAGGCCCCCTGAGGCTATTGCATGCAGGTATTCCACTGAACTAAATGAACTGTCCTTCTTCCAGGTCAAGTGTGGCCAGTGTTTAGTGTTTCCCCTCATCTCTCGTAGAAGCTCTGTTTGCCCCGTGCCGTCTGTGGTCAGTGAGGCCTGGGTCCCATACCGAGGAACGGCTGAGCTCACTGTAAACAGCCTAGGTTTGGGTTCTCCTAAGTAGGAGTCCTGGTGTGTCACTGTAGGACAAGTTCTGGACTGTCAACCACAAGATTGCCAGTTCAAATCCATCAGCTGCTCTCTGGAAACCCTATGTAAGGTTGCTACAAGTTGGAACTGACCTGACAGCCTTCACAACAACCAGAAACCCGGAAAACAAAAACTCACCTCCGTTTACAGACGTAAAGCTAAGTGACCCTCCCAAGTCCTTTCTAGCTTCCAGCATCCCTGACTCTGCCTCATCCATGGTCATGGGGTGAACCATCACTCTTTAACCCCAAATTACTGGACACCAGAGGCAGCAAGCCTGGGCTAGTCAGCACCTTCTGGAACCTGCTGGCAGGTTGTGCTGAAGCCCATCTGAAAGCGTTTGATTTTTTGATGCCAAGATCAGGGGTCAGCAAGCATGCTTGTGTGGGACCAGACAGCTTGGGGTGTGCCAACTGTAAACACGTTCAGCTGCTATCTGAAAGGCTCGAGTCTACCCAGAGGTCCCTCGGAAGAAAGTCCTGGCAACTGCTTCTGGAAAGCCCTAGGGAGGAGCACAGTTCCACTTGGATACACACGGAGCCAGGGTCAGAATCGGCAGCAGGTCGTTCGTGCAGAGAGAACGTGCCTTCGGAAGGCTGACGCTGCACTGCTGCTAAAGGCCTCAGGTGGGGACAGCGGGGCTGTCTGGAAATTCTAGAGCTGTCTTTGGTGTCTTTGGCACCCTGTGCTTTGCTAGGCTCTGACTGTCCCCAGACAGGGGCATCCTAACCGCATGGAGACCCACCAGGACCAAAAGAGCAAGCAACATAGTGCTGTCTCCAGCCCTCAGCAGGCCCAAGGTGGGCGTTGTTTGTTCTACCCCCCAGTGTAGTTCAGACAAATGTCTTTGGTGTTTCTGCCCCTGGCTCCTTGTTTTCCCCATGGTTTCTGGTCAGCTGTGCTGTGGTGAAAACGTGGTGGCTCTTTCTCACGGCTGAGGACTCCTTAACTGTAGCCTTTTCTTCAAGAGGCTTTTGTATTCCTCCAGTGATCCATGCAGGGCCTCTGGAGTGGCTACTCTGAGGGAACAGAGGGCCTGAGTGGACCCCTATGACCTGGAGATAGCTCTGCCACAAAGCACAGGTGCCTTGATGGCCCTGCCAAAACTCAAGGGGGACCCCTGCAGCAGGTCACTGCGGGGACCCAGCCCTGAGTGTGGGAACCTGGCTCCGGTCCTGATCTTTGACATCCACCCAACAACTTCCTGCTCACACTCTCTTTCTTCAGAGCCTCCGGTAAAGAAAACCTCCATTTGTGTACACACAGGCTTAGTTTTTTACCAAGGAACTGGCTCTTGTAAATATTTGTTCTGCATTGTTCTTGAGCCCTGGTGTGGCGTTGCAGGATACGCACTGGACAACTAATCTTAAGGTCAGCAGTTCGAACCCACCGGCCCCTCTCAGAACCCCTATACAGGATCGTTGTGAATCGGACAGACTAGATGGCACACAACAACAACACTGCTGTTCTTCGGGGCAGCGGTAGCTCAGCATCAGAGTCTTGCTTACCCTGTTGGAGACGCCAGGTCCTGCCAAGTCACCACCCCTCTCTGTCTGTGGAGACTGACGTGTTGCTGGGACGCTGAGCAAGTTTCCGTGGAGCGTCCATACTAAGAGGGACCAGGAAGAAAGGCCTGGAAATCAGCCAATGAGAGCCCTATGGGTCACAAGACTCTAACCCAGAACCAATCACAGGGAAGATGCAGGACCGGACAGTGTTTCCGCCCATTGTGTGAGGGTCGCTGTGAACCAGGAGCCACCTCCATGGCAGCCAACCACATCGTGTTTTGGAAATGGACCTTCAAGTCCCCTTGAAGAAGGCGGGTAAATCTGAGGTCATCTCCCCGGTGAGATTTTCATAAAGGAAGCACAGATTCTTCTGGAAGAACATCATCCGCTTTTACTTACAGGTGCTCAGAACAATGGTTCATTCTCACCCCTGAGGGGCATTAGAACAGCTTGCAAAGAAAGCCGCCACCATCAACTCGATTCTGACGCAGAGCAGTCCAGGAAGGCAGAGTAAGACTGTTTCCAAGGCTGGACATCTGTAATGGGAAGCAGACCGTCTCATCTTTCTCCCGAGGAGCAGCTGATGGGTTCAAACAGATAGAACAGCTTTAAAATGTAGCTTCCCAGACCCGGTCCCAACAGATGTTGGTGCCATGGAGTCAGCCTGGGGCCCAGGTTTTGCAGTGATTCCAAAATAAGGCACACAGCAAGCTGGCACAGTAGACTGGGAGAAGATTGTGGGACCTGTCCACACAGACTGGATCCCAGGCTCCAGGAATCAGTGGAAGACACCCCCTCCCTTACATTCCATCACATGTCCCGGCCTCATCACACCCACATCTCATTGCTGACCCTTCAGGTCAGTCGGGCAGTCTCCTGCTTCCTGCAAGATTCCTATACTCATAGATTTCTGCTCACCTGGACTCACCACATCCCAGCATCTCAACTCAACGGTCTCAAACGCAAACACTCAGGGGCTGGGTGGGCCATGAGACTGAGTGACTAGCTGGCCCACAGGAATGGGCTCCTCATTTTTCTCTAAACACTCAGCCCCCTCTGATTTCTCATCTCCCCACTTTAGAGGGGACCCCCGCTTTTAAAGAAAAAGTACACAGGTAAGAATAGTATGACAGGTGAGGGAAGGTGGCGGGAAGATCTCAAGGTGCAGGGAACAGACATGTCTGGAGTGTTGTTAAGTGCAGTCGAGCTCCTAGTGAACCTAGGCACAACTGTGAACGAATCACTGCCGATCCTACAATCATTGTTATGTTTGAACCCACTGCTTCTCTGCCAGTCCCTCTCCTTAGGGTCCTCCTCTTTTTCTCTGACCCTCTGCTTTATCAGACACGATGTCCTTCTCCAAGGATTGGTCCCTCCTGACAATGTGTCCTAAGTCCGTGAGACAAAGTCTCACCATTCTCACTTCAAAGGAGCATTCCGGTTGTGTTCGGATTTCTTCTAAGATTGATTTGTTCCTTCTCTGGCCATCCGTGGTCTACACAATATTCTTTGCTGATGGAAAGAATCATCATTTAAAAAGATCATCTTGTTTCATAAAGTGGTTGTTACTGTTTTAAGGTCTGGCAAGTTGGTGCCAACTCATATGGACCCTGTATAGATTGGGTTTCCAAGGAGTGGCTGGTGGGTTTGAACTGCTGACTTCATGGTTAGCAGTCCAGTGCTGATCCTACAGGGTGTCACCAGATAAAGTAAAGGGCCAGTGAAACAAGGGAAGAACCATCATAAACTCAATCATATCGGTGAAAAAGATGCCTGCATGAATGGAAGACTAGACCATGCTCCTGGATGTTACACACAGCATAACGACCTTATACACAGCAGAACGAAACACTGCCCGACCCTGGGCCAACCTCACTACTGTTGCCACACTTGAGTCCATCAATGTCTCCATTTGGCCAATCCATCTCTTTGGGGGTCTCCCTCTTTTTCTCTGACCCTCCACCTTACCCAAACATGATATCCTTCTCCAGTGACTGGTCCC